AAAAGTTCTGCACTGAAAAACTCTGACAGTTTGAGATTCGTCTCAGAAATGTTCTAGAAAAAACTTTTCAGGAAAACAAGAAACTCTGAGTTTTAAGCCAAGTTTTTCTAGACAAAACAAATCTCTGAGTTTGACGACCAAAATCTTCCAGAAAAAAAACTGGAAAATTAATGAGTTTGAAAATTTGCTAATAAAATCCCAAAAGCCTCTGAAATGTTGAGCTTAATCTCAATATTTTGAGGAAAGAATGCAGAAATCTGAGTTTAAATATTCTAGAAAAAACAAGAAAATTTATGGATTTGAAAAGATGCAAGTTTTCTAAAACGCTTAGAAAGTTTTAGATTAATTTCAACAACGATTTTATAGAAAAAAACATTTTGTAAAGTAATGTTTGTTTCTAGAAAATTTGAGCCATTTCTAGTCAATTTTCTGTTTTTAAATCTAGAAAAGTTCTTTTTTTATATAGAAACTTTCTGTGTTTTTAATATTCCGTCTACAAAGCGTCGCTGCCGTCGCTTTCGGCTCTGATCAACTTTAGACGATAAACGGCGGCCATCTTAACTCAGGGCGTCTCCGTTCTTCTTCTCTGCACGTCGCTTCGTATAAAAGTCCGACTGCCGGAGATGAAAAGGACTAACGCGGCGCCACCTGTCGCTGCTCCAGAGGAACTGCTGCTTTAAAGGTGCAGCTGATTTCCCTGGAGCAGAGAGCCCAACTAACCCAGCATAATGTCTGCTTGTTAGAAACACCTGGAGGTTGATACTGGACTGGACCCGGTTCCGTGGAGTCCGAGGTTTCACGAGAATCTTCTGAAACCTTGAAGACATACCATGTCTTCAAGGCAACATATGGTAGTTAAGTGTCTTTCGCTCAGTCAGCGTTTCCTTCCTGCGTCTCGTCGCCTGCAGGCATCTGGACCAAAGGTGGACCTGCAGATCAGGTTCTGTTTCCGACCCGAAGCTGAAACCAGGTGAAAGGTTTTTCTCTCCATCAGAGTGAAGAGAGAAATTTAAATAAAAAAAAATTCCCATCATGCATTTTTTTTACTGAACGTGTTTGGAAACAAAAATTTACAGTTTATTTTATGAGTTTAGCCGCGTTAGAAAAGTTTTCCCTGTAAACCTGAACCCAAGTGATCCGAGTTCACGTCCCTGTGGAGCCTCCATTTCAAACCAGTCGTTAGCTTGTTGTAGCAGTTTGTTCTTTTAAGGCTTCCAGTTTTTATTTTAATGTTTTTGTATCTATTTTAGAAGCGTGAAAAATGTCAGGCGGTGATAAGATCTCATCCTCTGCATCATCGGCACCAACGCAGCTCTGAGAACGGCGCCCTTCGTTAATATTAATCCACTTCCTGTCTGTTCATCAGACGGAGGAGTAAAAACTGATCCCAGTCAAATCTGAGACAAATTCAGCCTGAAAAGCTTCGTTTTGTGATCTGATGTCACTTTCAGTTCACATTATTCAAAAGTAGAGAAATTGTTGTACCAACCACAGAGCTGAAGAGGAAGTGGGCCAAGAAGACACCCTGTGGGACTCCTGTTTGACTTTCCTCGTCTCTGAGAAACGCCTGCAGGCTCAGCTTCAGTTTGCGACTAAAACAGCAGAAAACTTCTTTTCTTCTTCCTCCATTCAGTCCAGATGGATCGTTTAACGCCTTACAATGAGATTTAGGTTAGGAAAAAATTAATTTCATGTAAAAATGTGAAAAAATGAAGATTATCTTTATAAAAGTCCCCAATAAGCTGAAGATTCTTGGAGCCGTTTTATTTTGATTTCAGGTTTTATTCTTTTCTTCCTGCTGGATGTAACTGCAGTGAAAAGTTTGACTTTCTGCTCCGTTAAAGTTTTACTGGTAGTTTGATCCAGTCTGAAAATCCAACCAGAGGCTTCGTCATTTATTTTTACCTTCATCATTTGGTTTTACCTTTTAAAAATGTAACTTAATGACATAATTAGTAGAAATGAAGACGAGATACAAACAACAAACTGATATAACGTCTTTATCGGCTCCACTTCCTGCTGGATCTTCATCAGTTAAACTCATCAAACTCTTTATTTTCCGCTCCGTTAATCTGACACGTTTTTCTGCAAAGTCTGAAAATGAAACTAGATTTAAATGTAATAATGATCACAAATGAATCCTAATCATCTAACAGATCAATAACTTCATGCTGACGTTTCCTGCTTTCTGATTTTCTGCATGTTTTTACGCCCAGCATGCAGACGCGGCGTCTTGATGCTCAGACTGAAGGTTTTCTGTCGCTGCAGCGTCTCTTTGAGTCGAGGGGCTTCAGCAGCTGATAAAATCATTTCTCTGTTTTCAGCCCCATGTTGTTTCGTTCAAGCCGTCGCCGCTTCTGAACTCTGAAGCTTTGCTCAGCAGGTGTTAATGAGCAGCTTCAGCCTGAAGCCCTGCAGTCAAAGTTTCTCTGGTTTTATCAGGCCGACAGCCGAGGATCCGGCGAGGAGGGAACCCCTGCTGATGGAAACTCAGCCTGGAAACGCTGATCTGCAGAGAAACGATGATTCATGAAGAATCTGAGTGAAATGATCCGTTGTTTCCACTGAGTGTTTACATCTGCAGATCACATCAGGTTTCCAGTAAACCCAGCATCACCAGTAAACCCAGTTCATGAAGCGTTATTGTTAAATATCTTTAATTATTTTACATTAAGCTAATTTTATCCAAACAAATTTTGCACTTTAAAAACAAAGTTTAACATTTTAAATATCACAACTTTCATTTCTTGATCAATTTTACAACAGAAATAAAATATTATTTTGTTTGTTTTTAAATCAAACTGATGACACTGAAAAAAATTTATTTAACTTTTGATCCAAGAAAGTTTGATTTTCTCACATTGTTTCCATTTTAACATCGTTTTTCAAACTCACAGAAAAACTACAAATAATGTGTAAATCTCTAAATAATGTTGTGTTTCTACAACATTTCTGACGTTAAACGTTTATATTCTGCAGAGAAAATATTGATTTAATTTCTGTTATTTGGCAGAAATGATCCGATTGAAAGAGTTTCAACAGAAACCAGAACAAAGAGGGAAAAACTAACTAACATCTGATTAGTTTGATTTCTCTAAATAAGTACAAAAATATTTACAAAATAGAATCAGCTCCATTTTTTAATGAATTCTCAAAAATCAGATGATAAATTTTAAAAAGAGCTGCAGCTAAAAACGCTCCAAACATCTGGATGGGAAATAAAAACTAACTTTACTCCGTTTAGTTTTAACAAACTTTATTTAATGTTGAAATATAACTAAATTATTAGGTAGTTTAGTTATTAATATTAACACTATAAATAATTTTCTTGTCCTGAAGTGAGAAGTTGAATAAACTTTGTTGTTAAATTTAGTTAAAAATGTAATCAATTAATCAATAAATAATCTTTATTAATCAGAAGCTTCAGCATCTCATTGATAAACCACCAGAAAACAGAAACACAGCAAAAGATCAAAAAGGTTTTTAAATTAGTTTTCGTTTTATTAAAACCTGCAAAAACATTAAAATGATTATTTTCAGTGTAAAACTTTAAAAAGCTTTAATTTGTTTTATTATTATTCTTCTTTCTGTTGACATGTTTCTGCATATTGTTTCTAGTTTCAACTTTGATTCATTTTTGGTTTTAGTCCTGATTCCTGATGTTTTGAACTTTTAACGTTTAGAGATAAAAACACGTTTAGATTCATTTCTCTCGTTTAAAATGTTTCTCCGGCACAGAGAAGAAGAGGAAGGTTCAGAAAAGCAAACAGGAAGTCGCTCTAATCGTCTGAGGTTTACGGCGTTTACGTTTCTGCACTAAATGGTTCCTGATTGTTAGACTTTAGTCAGTTTTGTCACTGAGCTGCTGCTGGTCAACAAGATGCACAATTATACAACATACATCTTTGAAAAGCATTAGTGGAGCCTCCTGCACAACCAACCAGAAAGTAGCAAGTGGCACATCGTGTTGCTATGCAACGTTGCGGTTGCTAGGCAACAGGGCAGTGCCTGCTGAAACGTCTCATTTTCCAGAAACCAGAACCAGAACCAGAACCTGAACCAGAACCAGAACCAGAACCAGAACCTGAACCTGAACCAGAACCTGAACCAGAACCAGAACCAGAACCAGAACCTGAACCTGAACCAGAACCAGAACCTGAACCAGAACCTGAACCAGAACCTGAACCTGAACCAGAACCAGAACCAGAACCAGAAACTGAACCTGAACCAGAACCTGAACCAGAACCTGAACCTGAACCAGAAACTGAACCTGAACCAGAAACTGAACCTGAACCAGAAACTGAACCTGAACCAGAAACAGAACCAGAACCAGAAACTGAACCTGAACCAGAACCTGAACCTTCGGCTAATAAACAGCTGGATGGTTTTTAACATCTGGGTTGTTTTCAGAAGCAGCAGAAACACAAACTGACGTACAAAGATGTTAGAAATGTGAATTTTCCATCAGAGGTTCTGGTCCGGTCTAAGATTGGGAAGCCTGCTCTCTGATCTGGTTTGCTCAGACGGAACCGCTCCGGTTCTGCTCTGGTTCTGCTCCGGTTCTGTTCTGCTCTCTTCGCTCTGGTCTCAGATTTAGTTTGGTGAACCTGCTTGTTTCAGTTCAGAGCCTCTGAAACTCTGCTGAGGTTTTGAGATGAAGGTTACTGCTGCATCTCAGTCTGACTGACACACACACACACACACACACACACACACACACACACACACACACACACACACACACACACTGAACCACACTCCAACACACACCTGTGAGCTAATGAGCCGCAGCGAGAGCTGAAGCAGCTGAAGAAACCGCTGAGCTTTGCTCATACACACACATACACACACACACACACACACACACACACACACACACACACACACACACACACACACACACACCACACACACACACACACACACACACACACACGCACACATTCTAGCAGCTGCAGCCAGACCCTGACTGTCGGTGTGTGTCTCTCTCTCTCTGTGTGTGTGTGTGTGTGTGTGTGTGTGTGTGTGTGTGTGTGTGTGTGTGTGTGTGTGTGTGTGTGTGTGTGTGTGTGTGTGTTGACCTCCACAGAGGCGCTGAGCATCACTGACCCCCAGCTCTGCTACATCCTGGACGGGTTTCTGGGTCTCTACGGTCTCATCATGACCGGCATGTTCATCAAGGAGAAGGTGGGTCCAAACCCAACAGAACCAGGCAGAACCAGGCAGAACATGTTTCCATGACGGGTCAAACCAGGAACACATTATTATTTAAGACCAAGATTATCATAATCAAGAAGACAGATCAGTAAACTTTACATTTTAATGACCATTTAGCTCTAGAACTGGAAAACATTTTAAATATCTAAAATCAATAAAACAAGTGAAATAAAATATCAAAACTATCCTTCAATAAAAAGCTGGTTGAGATTAAATCTTGTTTGTCTGGTAGAAAAAGGAAAACAATAAACAGTTTTCCTGAAACATTAAGTCATTTTTCTGCCTTTAACACATTCAGCAGTGAATACATGAGGATGATTGACAGCACTAAGCCCCTCCTCCTGGCTCTGATTGGTGGTTTTTGCTGCAGGTCGATATTTTCACAGTCGATCAGCTTCATAACAAACTGTCATCACAAACATATTTTTATAAATTCGTTCTTTCAGACGGTTTGTGAGTTTTCAGAACTTATTCTGGACCTTCTGTGTTCCAGTTCTTCAGAACCAAAGCGAAGGGCTCAGACGATGGAACCTACGCTGTGAGTCCCGTCGTCTCGTCGTGTCGCAGCTCAGATTTTCTCTTGAATTCGTCTTCATGTGTTTTTGTGTTCAGTCTCTCAGCAGAGCGACGGGCGACACCTACGAGCCGCTGATGACCGACCCGGAGCGAGGACGGTGAGTCCAGATGTCCGGTTCTGAAGGTTCTGGTTCTGTTCAGATGCTTCATCTTGTTTCTTCTCATTGTGTCTCTCAGAACCGCCGAGCGCCGGATGACTCCACCTACACGGTACCAGACGAACCGTCCAGACCAGAACCGCAGTGACCTCTGGATGTTTATCTAACTGGTTCTGTTTGGGTTTCAGGGCCTGCAGAAACGATCAGAACCGACGTATAAAGAGCTTCCTGTGAGGAGAGAGGTGAGCGTCTGAACACGATGAGGTTCTGTCAGGTTCTGGAACCGGTTGCATTAAAAACTCTTGTTTTTGCAGCGTCAGCGGAAGAACGAGCAGGTTTACCAGGTGAGTACCGACCGGACCGGACCGGACCGGACCGCTCCGACCCGTCCAACATCTGCTCTGATCAGCTGATTGATTAACTGATGGGCTGCTTTCAGGGTCACCAGAGACACCTACGACTCCCTGCAGATGCAGCCGCTTCCGGCCCGCTAACCGGTCGGTTCTGAAGAATCCTGCAGATCAGCACCAAGTTTTACTCTGATTGGACCCGACGGCTCCTCAACATCTGGGAATTTAAGGCTTTTTCCACCAGATTTGGAGCTTTAAAATTCTGAAATATGACAGTTTTTTATTTAGAGCTCATCAATGTGATCAATAGTTTTGATTAGTTTAAAGGGAAATCAATAATTCCACTCATTAATTAGCATTCTATGCCGAGAAGTTTCACTGTTGTGTAAATATTTGTATGAGGATGAGAAACAGGAGGAACCTGCTCAATAGTTTCTGCTTCTAATGTCTGACTGTGTGAAGTCTGAAGAACCTGAAGTCAGTTTGAACTGGATGGAAACACAAGAAGGACAATTTAAACACATTTAGTCAAATCAGAGATAAAATCAAATGAAAATAGATATTTAGGTTAACATTAATATGATGGACATTATGATCATTTAATTGTTATTCTGCTGTTTTTAATCATATTTCTTGTCTCCTATGACTCATTTTTATTAACTTTTGTTGTTTTTTTATGTTTTCCTGAGAATTTCTGCTGTTTTTAGAATGTTATTAAATGTAAAGCTTTTAGATGATATTAATGAGTCTTAAATAAACATCTGTTACTCATTTCTGCCTCCTGGTGGACAGAATGAAGGTTTGCAATAATAAAGATTTACCTATAATTTATTCAATTTTGCCAGGAGAATTAGTTACTTATTTAATTGGAAGATTGTTTCACTCATAATTTGGGTAAATGTTATAAATGTTATCAGTGAAATAATCTGCATGATTCATCAATATTAAGAAATAATTGACTGAAAAGAAGCTCATGTGTTTTGCTGAAGTTATTAGTCACTGGCTCCTAGTGAGGGACCAGACCAAGAGCAGCAAGAGACCAACTAGAACTAGAAGTCAGGGTTTCCTCTGCTTCATCAGCCTGCCGGGCTGATACTGTTGTACTGTAGTGAGAAGGGCGGAGCCTGAGGTGAGTCAGGAACAATAAGATCAGGAGAAACAGATTATTCACTTTTTATCAGTAAAACAATCAGAGGAGGGCTTCACAACCCCTCTGAATTATGACACTCAAAACTTTGTAATATTTTTAACCCAAAAACGCAGCGGGCCGCTGATGGACGACCTTATGACCCCACCCTGAAGTGTTCCCAGGAAATTCCTGCATCAGGAATTTTGTGTTAAATGATATTTACTAGTTTGATTAACATTGATCTGAAACCTTCACCTTCCATTTATGACACATCAGAAAAGGTTCCTGCTGGACGGATCTTAATGTTTGGAGGTTAAACCTTTTTTTTTTCAGGCATGTTGGCAACGAGGAAACATTCCTGCACAGCAGAGACAGAAACTGGTAAACATCTTCCAGTGAACGGCTGCAGCAAGTTAAAACCTGTTTGTAACTCTGCAGGTTTTAATTTTCGTTGGAAACGTTTGAGACAAACTAGTTGAAAAACTTAAAGCCTCCAGCTAAAAGAGACAAAGGTTAAAGAACTTTATGTTCACGAATGAAGGAGGATCAGGTGAGAATCATCATGGAAAGTTTCCTTCATATCAACATTAAACATGATTAAATAAATGAATAAAATCTGTATTTAATATGAACATGTCAGATGGAGACACATCAACATTTCAAGGTTCTTGGTTCTGTTGGCTCAGATCATAACAAGCAGCAACTATTATTACTTTTATTTGTTAAATTTCTTTATAGATGAAACTGAAAATCTCCATTAATTTAATCAAATATTGATTAAAATCCTGAATATGTTTCAAACTTAAAGAAGCTTTAAACCTAAACGTGAACTTGTTGTTTAACATTTATTTCCTGGTTTCTTGTTATTCAACAGGTGAACACACTCTGCTGTCAGGGGGCGGAGCCTCAGGTGGGTCCCATTAAAGTTCTGGAGAATCGGGTGCGGTTCTCCAGTTCGCTCCCACTGGGTTTGTGTGAACAGAAGGAGAAGCAAAGATCTGATCAGGTGAGTTTTAACTCCACAATCTTCTGGTTTCCAGTCCTGACTGGTTTCTCTCTCTGAGCTGCTGGTTCTGGTTCTGGTTCTGGTTCTGGTTCTGGTTCTGCTGAGATATCTGGTTCCTGGTTGGTGGATGAAAATATTTCAATATGAAGTCAATAATTTATTGATCAGAGAGGAGGCAGAGGACAGCTGATCACATTTCAATCAATTATTGATCAGTAAGAAGTGATTATGGTGAAATATCAACACAGCGCCCCTAGAGTATTTAAAAACATCCACTGCTGTTATTTAGACCTGAACTGAGTTAAAACATCAAACCATCAGAACTGAGAAAAATGACTATTGGACCCGTTTACACACCCAGCAGGAAGTCGGCCATTTTGGATCAAATGTCTTGTTTGTTGTTTTTTTAATGTAAAACAAATAAAAAATGTCAGATTTGTCCTGGAGAGCTCAGAGGTTTAAGCAGAAGAAAACTGTCCTCCACTCTGATCGTCGTTCATTTTCTCTCATTTTGATTTTTAAATGATTGATTGATATTAAATCACAAATCTGCTAAACTATTGGTTGAATCACAGCGATTTCTAATAATCTATATCACTGTTAACACTTAAAAGGAAACCTGTTTATGTATTTTATATTTCAGTCACTTCATACATTCAATGACAGTGATATTAAATAATTTTGTTGTTTTTAACAAAGTTTTAAATAGTTTTAAATTTTGGTGAATGAGAGAAATTTACAGAAGTTCGGCTATCTGTGAATCTTTAGAGTTTTATTTTTACTCTGTTTTTGATTCATTGTTAAATGTTTGGATTTTTCTATTTCATATCAATGAACTGAGTCTGGTGGCAGGATTTTGACCTTTGACCCTAGGGTTCAGTTGTTTCCCTTCTCTGTAAAAATGTAGCAAACTTGATTGTGAAAAGAGACAAAACGGCGCCACCTAGAGTGACTCCAACACGATCAACATCTTTCCACAGTTTTTTATTGTCCAGTAGTGAGAAGGGGCGGAGCCTGAGGTGAGTCAGGAATCATAAGATCAGGAGATCATTCACTGTTTATCAGTGAAACAATCACAATAAAAGTTTTATAGTTGCTTCAATAAGATTGGATAATTTATCTAAACTTTTAAAGCAGAAACTGGGATTAAAGTCTGACTTTAAATCCAAAACCATCTGAAAGTTTTTACACCCTTTAAACATCATCATATTTTCATTTCCCAGTTTTCTGATATTCATGTGAAACCAAAACAAAGTTTAATATTAATGATATTATTTAAGTTGTTGCTTAATTAGATAAAATCTGATGAACGGTTTTCAGATTTTCAACCAAATTATTGATCAATCATTTCAGTCCAGGCTGCAGGTGGTTCAGTTGAAAGCTGATCAAGCTGTAAAGAATCAACAGCGCCCTCCAGAGGAACAACAGTCTAATGACATCTGAACCTGGTGACATCACAAATCCACTTCCTGTGGTTGTTGATTAGTGCAGTTTGTTGATCTTTAGGTAAAAAGTTTTAGAACCAGGATCTCAGTTTCAGGCTAAGTTAACTCAGAGTTTACAGAAGCAGAGTTTGTTGAAACTTATTTAAGTGATTATAATCAGAACCTAAACATGAGAATCATTGACTTTGAATGTTGTGTTCTGAGATGAATCATCCTGAGAGATGAACTAATTATCAGGAATCTCAATCTGTCCCAACCAAACCAAATAATCTCAGATTACATGATGGTGTTTGTTGAATGAATATTGATCTTATTACAATCATTTATCATCTCTGTACAGCAGATGTTCACATATTAATCCTCTCATTATTGTCAGACTCCAGAGACGGTTTGTTTTCTGTTTTATGAAGCTCTTCTTGTTCCACTGAGGAGTGGAGGAATATTTCAAGCCTCAGCAGGTTTCAGCATCTCACTTTAATCCATCTGTGATTCTCCAACGTGAGAAACTGAAGACGTTGATTACCTGCATGTCTGATCTTGTCTCAGGATTCAGATATGCAGAGCTTCAGTTCTTGCTCTTTTCTTCTACCAATCATTCAGATCGTGTGAAGTTGATTCCTCTGAAGAAATGAGTTCTGGTCTACGTCTCTGTTTATGGGGAAAAACAACCTGAAGTCTTAATTCCTCCTGCACAATCAAGTTAAAGTCAAACTGTTTGACTCTGACATAATTTTATTGGTGAAACATCAAAGTTTGAGGCCTGGATCAAAAAATTCAACATTTTGATAACTTTTAATCCTCCAAGGTTTACAAGAATACTGTCAAGAAAATCTGAGATCATCCCTTCCCCATGCTGGAGAGTTTAATTTAACAGTAACAATAAATAAAGTTACCTTTAAAATCAGTCACACAAGTGACATCTAGACCCAACAGTAGACCCAGACTGCAATAAAATAAATCTGGTTGTGTGTGTTGTTTTAATTATAATTATCTTTTTATCTAATCATAAGAAATCATAGAGAGAGATGAGACAGGAAGAGCAGGTTTCCTGGAAACTGAGGAAGTTTCCAGCCTGCAGATTTATAAAAATATCTGAGATTATTCCTTATTAAAAAGCATAAAAGTTTGAAAGGATGAAATGTAAACATTTTGAGTAATTAGATAAGATTTAGAGTAAAGTACTTATATTAATATTGGTTTACTTATAACAATACTTATGACACTTGTGGAAAAACGTACAAGTAAGACAAGTAACTGTAACTTCTGTAATAACTCACATTATAATAATAAGAGTAATAAGTTGAGCAACCCTGATCCAACCAAAGGTTCCTCTTTTGCTCTCACCCTTTATTGGGTTTATCCACCATTTTGGTGCATTAGCATTGGCTAACACTGTTGCTGTGCTTGTTTCATT